TGAGAGGTTTGTATATTTACATGATGCGTTGAGAATTCCACACAATTGAGTAGGTGTGGAAAGCTGCAGTTGGATCAAACCAGAGATGGAATTGTTGTTCTTTGTTTCCTTTTCCTTGGGAATACACATTGGTATGAACTGTGTATGGCTGTCCAGATGCATTGCCAAGAAACTCGAAATCTATTTCATCGTGGCCAGATCCTTGAGATGATAACTGCACAACCAAATAAACAATTCAATCATGGATACAAAGAAAATTAGAGAGGGGGTATTGGAGTGCTGAGTGAAGGGAAAATGAAGTGCTCACGAAAAATGTGGTTACAGTTCCAGCAGAGTCTCCAGGAATAAGTTTGAGTTGCATGTCAAACCTTCCAAAAAGGTACTCATTCTTGGACTGAAATCCAGAACCAGAATATTGGTCTAAGGAGAGCGTTAGAAGCCTGCCACCCTCCATTATCTTACCGCGACCATCACCCCAGTTTATTTCAACATCCCTGTAGAAACTTCCAGCAGAAGGGGTCACCAAAGAAGTCATGACAATAGAAACTAAGACAACTGCCAGATTCAATAGAAGTTTGGAATTTGTAAATGATGTTGCCATTTTTGTAGCTGAAAAAGAAATTTAGCTAGAGAGAAGGAGAGAAAGGGAGGAAGAGTGAAGGTGTTTTTGTTATGAGTATAAAGTTTGAAATGAAACCGCCTTATATATTTGATTTTGTGAGGTGGGATGGGGGTGACCTTGATCAGAAGGAAGTTTCTGTGTTGAGACCGGACAGTGTATTTGAGCTGGACAGAATAATTTAGTGAGTTGGCCAAAATTAGCTGGTCCAGTTTACGCGTAAAGGTATGACTTTTGGAAAATTCCACAGTTAAAGCCTAGAGTGCTAACTGGAATTTGTCCATTATTCAATGAAATCTTAGTTGCTTCTCACAATGAAAAGCACCAAAGAAGATGCTTTTACACTTTGCTTTTTATATGGTGCTGTGTCAAATAAGATACTTAAAAAATAAAGAAAATTCAAATTCATGGCGACATAAATGTGTCCTTCGATCAAGAATTTGGCAGTGCTCGGGGACTTGCAAAAATGGCATTGGCTTACGTTTTTTCGACGAGTTGAATAGACTATTTATATGTTTTTGTTCTTGGCATAGTTAAGTTGTAGATTGAGCATTTTAAATAGAGTAAAGTCACTTTATCAGAAAGATGTTGACAGATGCCTTGACATAATAGATGTTGACAATATATAATTGGATGGAAAAATTGATTGTATTTTAAACAGTCCAATAATAGAATACTACATGACATTTGTTAAGGATTATGCCAACCTCTCTGACGATGTAGCATGATTCTTATAACTATTTATGTTTGTGTTGGGGGTGATCGAATGTCATTGTTGGAACTTTGCTCTACGCGACTAGATTATGGTAGTTTGAGTCTTTACTCATTTGATTATTTATTTCTCTTGAAACTACATTTTTATAATGTTAAATTCATGTAACATGTTATACAATCCATATAATTAACTAACTACTCTATGAATTTTGTCTTTCTACCCCTACAATATTGTGGTCAAATTTCCTTGGAGTTGATCCACTGAATTGCATTAGGTCAAGAATTGAAGATATTTTCCCTATAAATTGGTGTGCCTTTCCCTCTTCACTGTTGTAGGTGATGAAGATGAAAATTTTGGTATTCTCAATACTATACCACCATACATAAAAATAGGGGCTTTCCTACAATTGTATTTGACAAAAGAAATTAATAAACAATTTCAACCCTTAAATTAAAGTAAATTAACGGTCCCATCTATTTTAACAAAATCCTTTATAATCCTATACCCGAATCAAAATGCACCTTATATACCTACTACTTATCTTAATTGCAACCGCCTAAAGTTTTCTCATCGACGCCGCCTCACTAGGGAAGGCAACGGCCGGGAGAGGGCTCCCCGTCCCCCGCCCCGCTACCTGTTAATTTTTTTTTTTTTTAAAATTTATTTTTTTTTTTTATTTAAAAAAAAAATTTTTTGTGTAATTTTTTTTTTTTTTAACGTATTAGTTCGGCCTATAATCTGATCCTGGATCCGTCCCTGGTATCGAAATTCCTTCAACCAAATTTAAAAAAAAAAAGGAAAGAAACTTCACCACTCTTTTTTTACCCACATTTATATGTAAATCATTATTTACAAGTGCCATTATTATTAAACTTGGAAGGCCATTATTTGTAGCCTTCTCTTCCTTCTTTCGTAAGGGGAACAATCGTAAACATGTATTTTTTATTTTATTTTTCCTCCCTTGTGTGGACCCATCGAAAGTGTTGGACCAAATTAACCCTTTTCCACTACAGTACAACTTATCGTATTTATTGTAAACTTCGGTTGGCGATTTTTCTAGCAGAAATATTGGCCTCTGCTGACTTGGCTTGGGCTATGGTCCAAATGATTGGGGCTAATTACACGAATGATACAGAAATGTTATCCCTTGTATCAAAATCACACAAAAAATGAAAGAGAAGTGCTACATAATGTACACATAATAGTGTCCATAATTACACGTGGCATTGAATCCAATCTAATTCAAATTTCACATCAACAACAAGATTTTGTCTACATCACATTATGGATATTATTATGTACCCAAATTATATACACATAAAATTTTCAAAAATGAAATTATCTTAAAATTATACAGGAACTCACGAAATTATATTGCATCCTTAAAAAATTGGGTGGTGCTACAAGTACAGGAGACAATTTACATGTGGTTTACAGGATTTTAAATTGTGCTGACATGGCCGTGGGAAAACAATAAAAAAAGAAAAAAGCTACTTGTACAAAAATAATTTGACAAAAATGTTGACNGACCTTGCTACTTGTACAAAGAATTTGTACAAAAATGTTGACAAACCCTCACATGTGAGGGGGCCCACTTTTTATTTTCAATTTTTTATTCATGTGGGGCCGGCCATCATGTGAGTGTTTGTCAACATTTTTGTACAAATTCTTTTGTACAAGTAGCAAGGTTCATAAAAAAAAGAAAAAGAATCCCAAATATTCTTGATTCTGCCGTTCTTCATCTTCACCCCTCTTCACTTGGTTCTGCCCTTCTTCATCTTCACCACTCTTCGCACGCTTTGCACCGGTTGGAACCCCAAATAGCATCGGACTAATTCCTTCCTCCTCATCCACCGCCTTCACTCCGCCGTCGCATCCTTTTTCGACCGGCATCAAATCCAAAGCTCTTCAGAGTTGTGGCGGCTGGCGATGAGTTGGAAGAGAATATTTGTTCGTCTTCAGAGTTCGCCGGAGAACCTACTAGCTGGGATTGCCGTCGCTGTTCCCTCTACTGCTGCTGCACCGGTTCCTATTTTCCGTCGCTGAATATATTTTAAGAGAGCCTTGTCTTGTCGCCCTTTCTAAAGCATTCGCGTACAAATTCCCACCAATCCGGTCCTACTTTCTGGAATCACTGCAAATTCACACCGATTAATTAGGATAAAATAGTTTTCATTGCATTATAAATAATGCAATTACAAATTTCACATATAATTCCCTTTTTTTTTTTTTGAAAGATTTACATAGGTGCAGAGACAGCAATCAGATGCAGGGTGAAGAAAAAACCTTCAATATTTTAACCAGATGATCAATGAAGAAATGAACTGAATAAACAACCAGTCGAGAATTTCATTTTTTCATTAGCATAAAACTGAAGACAATCGAATCTTGAATACAAAAAACATCTACACTATTTCCGTCCGATCAATATTTCTGTTTGAAAATGAAGGTTTCGGAAACGGCTGAAAATGGAGGTCTGGGATGCGTGAAAATGTGGGAGAAAGAGCCGGATGAAGATTTCGGAGCCGGCAACCACTGAAAATGAAGATTCCAGAACCAGAAAATGGAGGTCTGGAAGGGCTGAAAATGAAGGGAGAATCTATTCTCGTCCGGCAACCTTTTTGGAGCCGGCAACTTTCCTGAAAATGAAGATGTCGGAACAAGAAAATGGATGTCTGGTTCGCGTCAAAATTGTGGGAGAGAGAAATGTTTTCCCTCGCTTTCCTTTCCTAATTGTTTTCTCTCTTTTTTTTAAATGGAAACTGCCACGTCAGCACAAATTTAAAATCCTGTAATTATCCTGTAAAAAGCCTCCTGTACTCCCAGCATTATTCTAAAAAATTAATTGACGTGGTAAACAAGAAACACAAGTGTCACGGAAATAGTGTTTAAAAGAATAATACTATTAATAGTGAGAACTATCAGTAATCGTCTTGCGGGGACATACATTGAGCAATTTGTTATTTGATGCATTAATGTATTATTTTTTATTATCCCGTACATCAAATAACAGACCGTTACACGTATGTTATGAGCAACTACTGATAATCCTCACTATGAATAACATTACTTTGTTTAAAATGTACATGTCACCAAATTGAATTTCCCAAGTGGAACCTTAAAAAGGGAAAATGGACAAAAAATTAAAAAATAAAAGTCATCCCTACTTAATGCCCCACCCCATCCTTCCCCTCTGACTCTCCATTCCCGTTCACCTTGGTACCACCACCACCACCACCACACCACACCACACCACACCTTCCTCTCCACTATCACCGTCTAGTGGTTGTGGAAGGGCAGGGTGTGGTAGTTGCAATGGCGGCAGCGGGGCAAATGGGTGGTGAAGAGGATAACTATTACTTTTTCATTTTTCTTTGTTCATTTTTTGCTTTTGTTTGTTCAATTTTAATGACGTGTTTTCTATTTGTCACATCAGTTATTCCATAAATTTTGGCTAATTGATGTTAATTTTTATATGGATGTAAAATAATTTTTTGAGTTCATATATAATTTTTATCCAAGAGATAAAGCTCATGTCCTATTCACATAAATTACTTCATATGAATAAGCTCATATTACGTTTAGCTAGTTAACTATTTAAATGAAGAAAAGCCATAAACCAATCAATAAAATTCTCACAAATTATCTGAACTTGATTCTACACTTCGCAAACTGCGACGTTTCCACCAAAATGGATGATCTGGTACTTCATGCTCAAATTTAGAAATTTAGCAATCATTAATATATTCATTAAATCATTGCATGAATTTTATTGAAACATACATCAATTCAAGTCTCTAGGCACTAGTCCAAGTTGAGAAACAAAATCTAACTTTCAAATATTTGATATATGACTGTTATGCGATGATAAAATGAATATCTAAATGATTATATTATTAGAGACTGTTCGTACAACTATAATAAAGATTGTAAATCACAATGCTCTATTTAAATATTTCAAATCGAGTTGCTCTAAAAGTAGGTTAAAGACTATCACTGCAGTAAGCCGAGCTCAAGTGGTAAAAGCGAAGCTTTACCTTATTATTGACTTGGGTTTGAGTCTCGCTTGAAGGAGAGGATGGAATTCAAAAATAAAGAAAATGACA